TTAAATCAATATCACTATTTTTCCTTCTTCCTGTTTTCTGTCACTCTCTCCACCATCCATTTGTATTTTTGCTCTTTTTCTCTGACATCTTTGGTGTGTCTGAGGCTCCTAACACCTCCACGCCATTGTTTGTATCTGGTTACTGAACAGGGTTAGCAAGTAGGGTTAAGTAGGTATTCTTATAGACTGAACACACTAACCAAAAGTTAAATTTATTCCTACCTGTGAGATGTTTTTGACTCACAAAAGAAAGGAAACTTTTGGGAATAATACCCTCTAGGATGGAAATATCTTACATCATTACATGGAAACATATTCCCTCTGGAATGCAGAAGAAGCACATTTTTTTCAGTATTATCTGGAAAGGCTGCTTTCAAAAAGGAACAAAAAATTTTGACACTAATTTAGAGAGTCTTTTGAGTGGTAAGTGACAGATTATTTCTCTATTCTGAGCTCAGAGAGTTACCATTACTGATTGATCCAATATGCTTTTAAAATATTTTTTCTGGTGTCTTCTGACTGTACTGTTCCCATATCCTCTAGGACAGGAACAGGAAAAAATAACTCAAAGATTTTAAAGGTTTACTGTTAATATAGAAAATAAATGCAATGAAATATAGGTTTTGGAATAAAACAATCTTTTGAACTCAGCAAATATTTTATAAGCACCAGGTATATGAAAACCTACTGCTATTGTGTAGAGAGAGAAGAGTACATTCCATGTCTTAAGTCATAACAGGTTCTATACATGGCAGAGTAAATAAGAGTTTGTAATTATTATTATTATTTTTTATGCAAGGTAGCTGGGCAAGATAAATCCTCATCAAGAGCTATGTCTACCAGAAGTCTCAGAAGAGGTTATTCCTGATGAACAAATAAAGAAAAGATTATACTTTATAAATAATACGAGAAAATAAATAATTAGAGAATAGTGACCTTGATAAAGCCTTCTGTAGAATAGCAACTTTTCCATTTCCTAGTCACAGATTTAGTTACAGATTCGAATACAATATTGTATATCACAACATAGAACTATTACTACATGCATGTTTCTCAAACGGTGTCATTAGAATGTAATTTTCAATTCATGCACAAATGAGATTTAGTTTGAAAAGCTGAATGATGACTCCTCAGAGAATGTTGGGAGTAAATATGAAAATGGGGGATCGAAACACAAATATCGATAGATAGTATATCATACATGTGGTAGGGACATTGTTGAAAATATTTTGGGTAAAAATCTTCCCATTTCCTCAATATTTGTCCCTGACTGACTTTCTTCCACATGCCATCTTATCAACCCCTGTCCCTGCACAATGCTCCTGCTCTCTTTCTAGTAAGACTGAGAAAGAGGAATAATTAAATATTAATTTTATGATATTTGGGGAAACGAGATTTAGGAAACATAGATAATGGGTATTAAGTTTTATGATGACCTTTTGTTCCTCAGCCCAGGTTGTTTTCCAGAGCATCTCCTGACCACATAGCAAGAATCATGAGATTCAGTTACACCAGGTGAGGAACTGAAGGTGGGTAGGTTACATCACTCTTTAATTTGGGCTTTTTCTGGATGAAACAGCTTGGGACATTTGTTTTTCCTTCCACAGAGAATGGTAAATTCTCCTCAGAAATAA